TCTGGTATTTATTCTAAAAATAATACGTGTTTATCTTATAATTAAATTTGTACTCCTCTTCAATTCAAGTGTTAATCTACCAATTAAAACCGATCTCAGCTTCAGTTTTGTAGTTTATATGCATAGGTACAGACCACTCCAACCAGTATCAGAGTTCTTTTTAAGGCGTTGTTTTTTTTGTAGAAGAAAGTTTCTAAATCGGTTGCCTAAAACAGAACTCTGAAAGTCTGCTAGATTTCTGAAAATAGGAACAAGAATGCTGTCAGTATCTCTCATAATCATCGATAATCATTAAGTATCACTATGTTATCTATCACTGACTAAATTGTTATATTGCAGGATTCGTAGACTAAAGTTAAAGTATCTCTTGGAGATAGAATTAATTCTGAATTAACATGTTGACCAATTGCATTTTTTAAGTTTGCACTAAATGTGATAGTGGAGGCCAGATCATAATGAGTAATAATTGATTCAGCATATTAGACAATGCATGCAAACTGTCTGTTGAGAAAAAAATAAAAGGAAAAGCGTCAAACTGCATGGTGATCAATGCTGAGACTTGCCATTCGAAATTTATTTTCATTTGTAAAATTTTTCGGCTTTCAATAAAAAGAACATATATGTGAGTAACTAGATTCGGAAATTCTTAAAGACAAGAAGTACTATTTCATTTTAAGCACAAAAAATGTGTTTATTTTAATCGAATTGATCGTTTCAAGTATGCATATTCGTATAATTTTCATGAAGTCTGTGCATAACTCATACAAACACTCAAGTGTCTACTTATAGAAAAGAAAGTCATGTGACATGGACACATCTTGAGATCTATGCATGTCATGCATATAAAAAAAAAAGTTTAACTTGAATTTCTTCTATCGTCATCTGTTTATACTTCTTTTTATTGATGTAGAATAAAGTAAGGAGCTGAATTTTGAACAAAAACGTTCGTCATCAACAATTAGTAAGAGGAAACTCTCAGTATAAAAGTAGAAATCGAGGCTACATGAACAAAACCAATTCTATTATCGATATAATGAAGGATAATAATCGATTATAAAATCATGATTGATTGCTTTTCAGCTGCCGATATTCGTTTCAATAGATCAAGATTAATCGGCAATTTTTTAGTAATTTCAACGACATGAGGTGTGATATTTATTACAAAGAAATATTTTCTTATGATTGCTAATAGTGATTCGTTAATCCTTTGATGGTGGATTTGGTTTAGAAAAGAAACTGAAATTTCATGTTCGAAGTTCAATATATTTTTAGTATTATTTGAGATCATAATCATTCTACTCAGTCTTGATTTGAAGACATATTTGATTGATTTTCGAATAGCAAAAACAAAAAAAAACTACACAAAATCTTTAACATAACTACCATGTAGCATACGGAAAGAAAACATATGAGAAAGAAAAAAACACTGAAAATGCAATTAAGCCTGAAATCTCTCAGAGCAATCAATGATGCAAAGGTCTACATTACAATCTTTATACATGTGACGTGAATCTATTTTCTATTTTTTTGTCTTCAATTTGTATGAGCACATACAATACAAACTTTCTGAGGACTTTACTGTCTGTTGTTTGAAGCAGAAGAGAAGGAAAGTGTCTGGCAGTAAGTCTAATTGGTTTAGAGTTCAGAATACTGTATGAAGCGCTATTGCATAAAGTCACCGCTGGCAAAAGGTATATTTAATCGCAAAACATAAGAAAAAGTCCAGTTCCAGCATGACTAAGGACAATTTTTCTCTAATTAAATTTAAAACCGTAAATTTACGGCCTTCACGGCCAAAGAGCTAAGTTATTTTTCTATATAAGAAATGCTTCTGAGTTGATAATTCTTCTGTTTAATGGATTAGTGAGATAGATATATCGAAGAGTACATTTTGCTATATTTTTTTTTTATCAAGGCAGCTTTAAAGATGTACTTAAAGCGCAAAGCAAGCAGAAACTTATTGGTAGCTTTTCAGTGTTGTGGTATTCGTGCTAATCAGAAGTTATACAACACCATTGTCGAGAACAGAGAAGAAAATGATATAGGTTTAACGTTTTGTTATTTATCATAGTAATAAAAATAGACAATAGAAAGAAATTTATTGAACAGAGCATAGTTACATTATTTTAATAGCAAAAAATCATCCAGAAGATTAAAATCATAAAAACACTTTTAGAGATAACTACTTTTTATATAAATTGTCTATTTCGAAAAACACAAATGCAATAATAAAAGTGAAAGTAATCAAATGTGAGAGAATCTCAGCATATTACTATTTGAATATATTGTAGTACGAATGTTATGAGGAATAGCAAAACAATAACAAATAGCATATATATCGATATATTTACACAGACTATGATACTCATCATAATTTTTTTTTTAAGTAGTATCATTGTTGTCAGTTTATTCGGTAGTTGATGTCATGTTGATTCAACCAATAGTAGTGTTACTTTTTTGTATTGTTGTTAACAGAATAATTAGTTGAGTCGTAGTGATGTTAGTCATGATGAATTGACTTGCATTGATTCAGTAGTTCGTGTTGTAGAATTTATGACACTTTTTGATTTCGATTTTCAGATACTTATCCGAATGATTCTTATAACTCTAGATAACATTAAATTGATGGCTTGTTTTTGAAAGTTTGCGTCATTCGTACTTGCTAATATTGATACTTATATATGTGATTTCAAGTTATATATTATTGGCGTTTCTACATCAACTATGCATGATGCTTATCAAATATTTTCTTTTTTTTTTGATTTATCAGAACTCACGACCTTATCTTTGAATAGTTTATAAAACATCCACGAGGAGTTACAAAGGTGTATCCTAAAAGAAGACGTCTCATATTTATTCACTATCTACTATTAAAACGAATACTGAGTTTAATACTGAAAGATCAAAAACATTTAAAAAAAAACGTCTGTTGGAAAATCTGAAACATTGGAATATGAGATATTGTTTTATATTGGATTGATAACTATCACAATATTTTTTCTATTGGACTTAGTGAGTAGACTAAGTCTACATTTCATTGATCATAGTTTCGCTAAATTAACAGATAAGATTTGTTCGTTGACGAGCATGAACACAACTGTTGATTTACAGACATCTATTTTCAATTTAATCAAATGCACTTGAATTAATTCGCATGCTGTCTGTCGACGAAATATAATGTGAATATTGATATTCGACATTACTTATTTTCATATAAACGAGTATAAAGCAAAATAATATCAGAAGGATGATGTACACAAAAATAGAAAAACTCATGATGATGTCAGACGTCTTTTCATTTGCAGTCTTTTATATTTTCTATTAAAATTGAATTTAAGGTTCTATTCTTCTGGCTCAAGGTTGTATACACAATAACACAACCTGTGTTGTTCTTATCTCTCAAGACTATGCTCTCTAACATTGATTGTGTAATGACGTCAATAATTTACAAAAATCTTTGTTTTGTAATATTTACGCAATATTGTTATTAAAATAACGTTCTACGTTGAATCTTTGACTTAGGAAAATACAATTTACCTGTCTTAAAATAAGGCTTCTGAAAAAATTTAAAGTTTTATCAGCTAAAGTCTTGGATATGTCTAACAATTATTTAAACATTGTATAATAAAAAGCAAATGGCTGACATACTTACATATTTTATTTTCAAAGAGTAACATCGATTTTCGTGACAACAAGGTTATTTTTTGATAAGATCTCAAGTTTTTTCTATTTGACGATGTTTATTCATTGAATTTTTTGCTTTTATATGAATAGATAAAAAACAAGAAGAAATGTATTTTTGTAACTTGTGTATCGTCGTTAATATCTATCATTAGACTGACGAGGAAACCTTTCCACCTGTCAAACCGCTTTCAAGTCGGAAGTATGTGCATAATGTAGGACCTAATGAGCTATGAATACCTTGAAAAGAGTTCGTGCTGCTAGCTTATTGCTGCCGAGATATTGCATTTTCACAGCATTTTTAAACAGAAAGCCGTAGTCCCTCTCAGGAACGTTAGAAAAACTGAGTTACGAATTTTGACTTGAAACTTTGCACAGAGACAGGTCTCAATTAGCATAGTTTATTATGAAAGTTTCAGACATTTTGGTTGATCCTAGTTTGAAATAAGAACATCGGAATCCGCCAGTATATATGAGCAATGCACAAGCATGCTTTTATCACAGCTGTATCTTAAGATAGGAACAAGCAAAAGATCTGAAACTATCAGAATAAACTATTCTCATTGAGACCTTTCTCTAAGCAAAGTTTCAAGTCAAAATTCGAAACTTAATTTTTCTAACGTTCCTGAGGGGGACTACGGCTTTCTGTTTAAAAATGCTGTGAAAATACAATATCTCGACAGCAATAAGCTAGCAGCACGAACTCTTTTCAAGGTATTCATAGCTCATTAGGTCCTACATTATGCATATACTTCCGACTTGAAAGCAATTTGACAGTTCGAAAAGTTCTCTTGTGAGTCGTAGCCGCCAGAAAAAAAATTCGATAATAGAGTCACAAAACCTTTCGGACTGCAAAATCATTTTCCCAGTATCTCGGTTAACTCTCTTTTATCAACATGTTCTCTGTAACTTATTTCTTCTTCTATGTGATCTTGAAAACTAAGAAAATCTCCTTAAAATTTCTAAAAATTCCAGCCAACACTGCCGATGAAAGAAGAAAAAATTCACACTTAATTCAACGGCTATTGTTAATCTATGTTTTTGATTAAGACTCAAATTGAAAATAATGTCAACTACATATGACAATCGAATTTTCTACTATAAAATGTTATTTAATGGTTATTTATTTTAGCAAATTTTGGTTAAAATTGTAGCAAGAGATTAATAGTCTATACTCATAAATGTAATATTTTTGAAAAGAGCGATTAAAGCCAATTATTGCATGAATTCTAGTTTGAGTTTTTGATGTTAAATTTATTTAATTTTTACTCCAAAACAATCCACAAAAAGTTTTCAACTTTTTGTCTCTTAATCCATCATTACATACATAAAAATGTAAGCACAACAGTAAAGAGAAGAAAGTGTGAAAATTGAAAAACAGATTTGATCGCACTTGATGTTGGTGTGGTTAATGTTGAGCCGGTCTTAGTGCTTCCACTAGAAATAAAAGAAAGTAATAGAGAAAAATAAGATTGCTTATAAATTATAATTTCTTATAATTACCCTTGTGTGGTTGTAGTAGGTGCAGCTGTTGTTGTTGTTGTTACTGGTGCAACTGTTGTTGTTGTTGTTACTGGTGCAACTGTTGTTGTTGTTGTTACTGGTGCAGCTGTTGTTGTTGTTGTTTCTGGTGCAGCTGTTGTTGTTGTTGTTGCTGGCGCGGCTGTTGTTGTTGTTGTTTCTGGTGCAGCTGTTGTTGTTGTTGTTGTTGGTTCTTCACTACTATATAATATGTAAATTATTAGTGTGTATTTCAAAGAAAAATCTGCACTCATTTGTTTCTTTTTACTTACGATCTTTTACATGAAGCTTGCATCTCACCTCTACTCGATTCACATAATGGATATGCAAGTTTGCAGGCTTTAACACATTTGTTATTGTCACATGGAGCAGTTTCTATGTTCGATGAACCGATATTCATTGCTCTACGTGCACCTCTCCTTGTTGATATACTGCATATACATTGGCAATCGGCACCACTATCAATAGCAGAGACAAAGTTAACACAATAGAGTGCTATAAGAATAGCAGATACAAGTGTAGACATATGCATGTTAGTATTTGTCTGTGCGTGTGCAAAAAATCTAGAAAATATTTAAAAAGCAAAGTATTATAAAAACATACGCAATAGTAAGCATGTAAGATGATACTAATTTGCTTCTATTACACTGACTTTTTTAACATTTGCTGGCGTTTTATATATGTGTTATCTTGATAAGTAAATAAAACAAACATCTTTGTTATCTCTTTAACTTTTGGAAGGCACACCATTCACTGTTGGTCATGTTAGTCAGATATATAAAATAAGATAAAACACTTCTTCGGACTTTGTACACAACGGAAGTCCTTCTGAGTAATGGTGTTTTTACTTTTATTTTGACCGTTTATTAGAGCATTGCTGTTTCTATATGAGAAGTATAAATATTGAGTTTTCTACAAGATATAAATACTGGTTTTGATATAATATGACTATACTTTAGTACTGTGATGATTTGACGAGTCTATAATTAGAATATAGAAGTTCTTTTAATTTCAAATATATAATAAAAAAAAAAGAAATGATTGCTTCGATGATTTTTCTCGAACTCAAAGAAAAAAATAATAAATTCAACTTATTTAAAAATATTCGAGCTCATTAATATATATTTGTCCATTGATAGAGAATGAAAATCTTAAATGTTGAACACTAGAATTAACAATGACTTTATATCAAATAGCTCTATTCTGATCATTAGCACTATCAATAAATTTTATCAGTTATACTTATGCGAGTAGATGTGGATGTATGAACGAAGAGAAGACTCATAGTTCCACTAACAGTCCATACCCAGAAACAAAAATTTTTTTGTATTAACAATTTTTACACATGTATGAAAAATGTATATATTTTATTTTAAAAACAATCAAAATCAAAGTTCAGATAGTCTATTTCAAAAAATTCACATTGCAACAACTATATTATCTATCAAAAATTGTGCATTCATATTATTAATGATGAATTCTAAGCCAATAACAGGAAATAACAATGGAAGAGATATTGTCTGTACAGCAGTTACATATTCTGTTGAACTTAGTTTAAATATTCGTTTGCTTAGAGCAGGAAGTACATGTACGACAAAAGAATCAAATTTTCCATTTTCATACCAGAGGATCATTGTTAAATTATCTACTAGTCCTTCAGGTGTACGACCAATCATAAATCTTATACTAGATCCATTGATGGGAACTTGTAAATGAATTGCATATTTACCAACTAAATTTTCAATTGGTTGTAAGATTAACATTGCCGAACGATAAATGTTTACATAAACTGAACCCCATAATAATAAATTTGTAGCATTGACTTTTGAACCAGCAATTGTTCCCGTAGTAACGTCATAATTTTCAAAATCAGCAATGACAATTTCGTTTGAATCTTGAAATGTTGATATATAGTTTGTATAGGGTAAATAAGTTAATCCAGAACGATAATCTTCAAATAATATACGATATTGCGTTTGATTTTTAAGAACAATATTCATAAAAGCAGACATATATATTTTACATAAATGTTGTTGATCTTCAATTGTCATTAGTGGACGAACATTTATTAATTGATTTACTCCTGGTATTCGATCATATCGTCCCCATTTTGTATTAAATTGTCCATGATTAGCTTGATGTACATATAATGATGCTTTAAAATTATAATTACTACTATTTGATGTAAATCGTAAATTTTTTAATTTTTCTTGAAATAAAAATGATAATAAATCTCCATCATAAATACCATGAATACCAAACATTGTTACATCATGTGATTCAAGGTCATATCCTAATGGTTTATAAAAATCAACTGTACCACTAATAGAAAATAATGCTTTAATTCCAAAATTATAATCGCTCAATGATATAGTTGTTGGATAATCAGGTAAAAATTTTAATTTATTTAACATATGAGCAATAACAATTGTTTCACCACCACGTGAATGACCCATCAAACCAATATTGAATAAATCTAGTTGATTATAAAATTGATTTTTTTCTTGTCTATTCCATAGACGTAATTGTTTCAATGTTTCTAATATGACGAATGCTCGCGCAATAAATTCAGGTCGTTTTCTAAAACTAGTATCATATTTTTTAATTTTTGACATTGGTCCATAACTACTTGAAGAATAAGATGGAGCTGAATTCAAAAAATTTTCATCAATTGAAACAGCTAGAAAACCTTGACTAGCAAGCATTGTACCTAAATAATCATAACCATTTTCATTTAATTCTGTCGACATATGATTACCATGTACCATTAGAACAATTGGATATGGACCATTGCTAGTATTGATCGGATACCATATTCGTCCATTCAATGGAAGAGCTGATTCATTATATTTAAAATTTTGTTTATTAAATGATGATATTGTAATAATTGAAGATAAATCAATGGTTGGTGTTATAATTGATGCTTTCGAACCATATTCAATTCTATTATCAAAGCCACTTCCATATGTCAGAAATCCATAAGAATAGTTTCCATTCAATGATGGATCATTTGTTAAATTATGTGGAAATCTTTCTGCTGGTACTATAACATCTATTCTCATACTATAACCATCAGTTAAGTAATACCATAGTAGAAGACTGACTCCTACACATCCAATCACAGCTAGTATAGAGCAAATAATTTTTATTTTTTTTGAATGATAAAGAATAGCTGCAACAATACCACCAACAAGTAGTGTATGACTCAATGCTAGTGCAAGTCCAAGTCCAAAACCGAGAAGTCCAGAACCTATTATCATGGCTGCTATTAACATAAATAATGGACATGTCAAAAAGCTTCCAATAAAAAATGATATTGTTCCATTTGATACCTGTTGACGAATTGAATAAGATTTTTTCCAGAGAAAACTAATTACAATAATTAAGATGTACACTACAAGTGTTATTATCCAAATAATAGTTGACATATAAATAAGAAATACAACGAATGTTGCGAATGAACCATAGCCTAAGTCAAGTGGTGACATGACTGATGCTGGTAAGAGAAGTGCTAACATAGTTAAACCAATACTTGTTGCATTGACTATATAATTTCCAATGCTCTTTTGATTAGATTGTAATGATTCGTCATTTTTCTTCTTTAATTTAATCCATAATTGTAGTGACAAGATACAGATAACAAGAAATATTGCAACAGTGCTCATTATAATTAATGCTAGTAATTCAATTATTAGTTGTCGCATAATGACTAGAACTATTATCATTATTATTAATATAAGAACACAGATTCCAATCAAAACCATATCTTTAATAATTGTTGATGGCTTTTGTCTGGGTAATATTTCATTATCATGATCATCGATTTTCATTCTTATTAGTTTGTTCAACTTGATAAACAATTTACTTGTAGAATAGAAGACTTCGCGCGATCTAATAGAGACAATATAAGTCAATATTAATTTACAATCAAAGAGAATATTCGTTGCATTACTAAATATTTAGATGAGAATAAAAAAAGGAAAAAAACACGCGATTACTACTATCATAGCGTGCAAGATACGATAAAAACTGACAAGAGTTGTGCTAAAATCTACTTCATATGTGACAAAGACAGAAGTGTGACTGATGAAATTCTCAATCCTGACTCAAAATCCATCATGAGGTGCACCATACTCTGTATCGATTACACATGTAGCCGTCTCAGTTCATAATGTATACACTTTGACTAAGAAAGATTCGTTAGAAATATACATTAAACACTGTATTCAAAGAAGACCAAAGAGTATGCACGCAACGGTTCTTGATCACTCACTCTTCTCTAGTGCTATTTTTATTTGAGATGATTTTCATAAAAGAAAAAAGGATCACCATTGGCCAGTTTTTTTTACAGCAATCAAGTAAAACAATTAATAGAAAAACATGAATCGCTTCTCTTAATATAGATATCATATCTCGAAATAAACTCAGAATATGCAAAAATAGCACATACAATATCTCTATACCTCCTTTCCTTTCCGTTTTTCCTTTTTCCTTTTTTTCGGCCTTGAAATGTACATGTACAACCTCCTTTGCTTTCATTTTCTCTTCTCTTCTGGCGACCCTTTTGCTTCAACTTTTTTATGCGTTCCTTTTGGTTTCGTTCTTCTATTTCTGTTTTTGTTTTCTTCTTCGTTCTTTTTACTGTTTCTGTATTTACTTTCTTGACCTCTATACTAGCCAAGTCAATAGTCGTTATAAAGATATTAGGGGCGACGATAAAATTCATTGTATTTATGTTGTTGTTCAGTGCTTAAACTAGCATAGTAGAATCGAGATACAAAGCATGCGGATTGGTACTAGTCTTTTACATCGTGAGCAAGTGTGTGAAAGAAGCTGAGCCTGTCTTCTATACGGGCAAGTTAGAGGATGAAAATCAAAAAGTTCACCAACTCGCCAGTCAATCATTTGCAACAATATCATCTTACATTAAGTGGATAAAAATTTCAACAGACATCTTTGATTAAACTTGCTTTCATCTCATCATCGTTTAGTAAACATGATTTAGGAAAAATAAAATCATCAAGTGACTACAACTAGTTTAAAAAACCTCGTCAAATAACGAACTTTTCTCTTTTGATACATTGTAGGAGAGGAGATACGAAGGGTGATCATAATTCTGCATGTTAACCTATACAAAAACTTTGTTTCTATAGCTTCTTACAAGTCTTCACAATACAACAGTACTGAAATCATAAACTGTAAAACGTTAGCATAATCGAGTTTTTGAACACCTTGAATGAAAACAAACAGAAAAAAAAACACTAGAGTTTCAATCGTTTCTTCCATTGCATAAATGCTCGATTGAACTTTCAACTTTGACGAGTTCTAAATTTAAGTCAAATCTTTAACGGATACGTTTTAGTCTCTGACTGGTATGCAATATTCTCGAGAATGTCTGAAAGACATTAGAAAAGTTGGGAAAAGTACAGGATAATATGAGTGATTATACAGAAAAGTCAATATACTCGAAGCAGATTTCACAGTTTTAACTCTGAAAATTCTTCAACGAAATATTGAAGCCTATGTAAAACA